GGGGCCCCGCCGGGGCCCCCCGCGCAGCGCTGAGCGAGCGGAAGATGGCGCTGTTTTTCGACAAGTACGCGGTGTGCGAGCCGGGGGCCGCGGGAGCTGCAGCAGCAACGGGAGCAGCAGCAGCAGCAGCAGCAGCAGCAGCGGGAAAGGCGATTCAGGGCGAAGGACTGGAGAGGCTGTCGGGGGACTTGGGCGTGGGACTCGATGACATTTTCTTTTTGGTTTTTGCCTTCCACTGCGGCTGCAGAACTCAAGGAGTGATAACTCGAGAAGACTTTCTGCGGGGGCTGCGGAGCTTAGGTGTAGATACACTGCAGGGGCTGCAGGGGCTGGTGCAGCAGCAGCAGCAGGCGCCCTACAGGGACCGGCAGCTGCTGCGGCGGGTCTACAGCTTCGCCTTCGTGTACTCGCTGGAGCCGCAGCAGAAGCAGCTCCCCACAGACCTTGCTGTGGCTTACTGGCAGCTGCTGCTGCAGCCGCTGCAGTGGTGTTTGCTGCAGCACTTCCTGCGCTACGTCGAGTGTACGTCCACCTTGCGCAGCATCAACAAGGACGTCTGGCTCATGGTCCTCGAGTTCGCCCTCTCCTCCCTCACCTCCGGGCCGCTGGTCCCCTGCAGCAGCAGCAGCAGCAGCAGCAGCAGCAGCAGCGGCAGCGGGCAGGAGGCCGGGGAGCCCAGTGGACCAGTGGACCACTGCGGGGAGGCGCCGGACCAGACCATTGACCGGATCCTCGAGGAGTACGAAGACGACGGCGCGTGGCCGCTGCTGATCGACAACTTCGTGGAGTGGATGCGGGAGCAGCGCAGCAGCAAGTGAAGGCCCCGCGGCCTTCAAAAAGCGCAAAAGTAGATTTAATTCTTCCAAATTTTCATTGTTTTGCACTTTTTTATTTCTCGTTTGCAGTTCTGCACACCAACTCCCAAGTTTCCCCGGTCGCCGCCCGCGAAGCCGTGCGCCTTCGGCTGTACGTGCCCGGGTGTACGTACACCTGCGCGCAAAGGCGCCCACTCGTGCGCCTCTCTAGTTCCACAAAATCAAAGACGTGCATTTCCACTTCGCGGGTCTCCGAGCATCCATTTATAGCAGTCTTAGCGCGCACCCCCGCGCCCGCAGCTGCAGCAGCAGCTGCTGCTGCTGCAGCTGCAGCAGCAGCAGCAGCAGCAGCAGCAGCCAGCTGGGCTTGAGACTCTCTACAGCTGCTGCTGCGGGCCAATGTTTTTTACTTTAAAAGAAATGACTCAAAAGGCGTCCCCCGCGCGTCGCCGGCGGCGGCCAGTTGGCCGCTGGGGTGTAGAGACACCCTGGCGGCTCCAAGGAAGTCTCTTGAACAAAACCAAACGGCTTTTAATTATTACAAGTATTTATCTCCTTTCCTCGTGTGCTGTTCTATTTTTCCTCAAAGCCTCTCACAACTCCGCAGTTTTCCGAGGCAAAACTGCTGCTGCAGCGCCGCATCATTTGCTGCTGCGCTGCTGCAGCAATTAAAAGGCCCTGCTGCTGCAGCAAAACGGGGGAAGCAGCAGCTTATTTGCTGCGCCCGCATGCGTGTCCATGAAAGTGTGCAGCTGCGGGTGCTTCTGTGGGTGTTTTCTGTCTGCATGCATGCAAATGCAACTATAAAGTAAATATTCATATTCTGTTTATTTATAAATTTAAATACATATGTATAATATATATTATATATATATTTATAAATTATATGCAGATTTATATAATATATATTTTCTAGACAATTTGATCTGCTGTGCACAGTGCAGAAGCAGCAAAGGGCAGGAGAGGGGGGACGGCTGCAGCGCCTGCTGCTGCCGCTCAGCTGCTATCGGGGGCCGCAGCAGCAGCAGCAGCAGAGGCAGCAGCTCCTCGAGGCAGCAGCTGGGAGTGGAGAAGGCCATTGTCGTCAAGTGGTCCACTGGTCCTGGGCGTGACCATTTGTGGCGCCCTCATTCGTCTTCGTCTTGCTGCTGCTGCTGCTGCTGCTGCTGCTGCTGGTGTCTGTGGGGTGTACGTACAGCCCATCGCTGCGTGGCTCGGCGGTGCCGTGTGCGACTTACGTTTGCTGCTGCTGCTGGTGGTGCTACTGGTTCTGCTGCTGCCGGTTCTGCTGCTGCTTCTTGGAACTCTCCAACGCCTGCAGAAGCAAATCAGTTTGCTGCTTCGGAGGCGGCAGCAGCAGCACTCACAGGGCCACTGGACGTCGCAAGCAGCCATTTGCTGCAGCTTCTGCTGCTGCGAGAGCGCGCCGAAGGCCACTTCTTGGCTGCCTGCAGCAGCAGCAGGTGACCACTGGTCACCTCGAGTTGCTGCAGTGGTTAGGCCACTCACAGCCGCCCCTGTAGTTCTGCGGCGCCCGGCACAGCTGCCCGTCCCCAGAGTCCGTCCAGCCCACCGGGCACACAAACCCGAAGTCCAATTCGCATGCGGTTCTGTCTGGAGCGCTGCATGCAGCAGCAGCAGCAGCAGAAGCAGCAGCAGCAGCAGCGGCAGCAACAGCAGCAGAAGCAGCGGCAGCAGCAACGGCAGAAGCGGCAGCAGCAGCAGAAACAGCAGCAGCAGCAGCAGAAGCAGCAGCAGCGAGGGGCCTCGGGTGTCTCACCTTGGAAAGGAAACTGGACTTTGCAAAGCGCAGCAAAGGCGCGGCGGTCTTCTTCAGATCTTAAAGAAATCTCTCGAGGACAATTTTCTGTGGAGATGAAAGAGGGGGGCCCCCGACACAAATGGAATTCAAGTTCTTGCCAGCCGAGGGGGCAGGGGGCCCTGTAGTTTCGCTTCCTTCCACCGCTGCTGCTGCTGCTGCTGCTGCTGCTGCTGCTGCTGCAGGCCCAGGCGAGGCCGCAGCGCTGCTGCAGCGCCGCCTTCAGCTGCGGGTGGCCCCTGTAGCCCGACAAGTCCAGCAGCAAAGGGCAGGGGCCCCCGTAGCCCGGGGGGCCCCTGCAGCGGGCCGAGCCGGGGGGCCCCTCGGCCCAGCCCGCGGGGCAGTTGCTGCTGAAGTCTGGGACGCAGATCTGCTGCTTGCAGGGCCACTGGACACCACAGAGGGTTTCCCAGCGGGCCTTGGCCGTGGGGTCTGCGTCGCCGCGCAGCAGCTCGTCGCCGCAGGCTGCTGCTGCAGCAGCAGCAGCAGCAGCAGCAGCAGCCACGCAGCGGCCGTCCGCAGCGCGCAGCCGCCACCCCAAAGGACAGGCTTCCGAATAGTCTGCGCCCCCAGGACACTGCTGAGGCATGCAGGGGTAGCGGGCTTTGCATGCAGCAGCCCAGGCAGCTTTCGAGCTGCTGCTGAGCTGCTGCAGCTCCGGCTGCTGCGCCCCACACGGGCCCCCGTAAGCTGCTGTTGCCACGCAGCTCGACCCCTGCTGCTCAAAGTCCAGTGGACACCCCACGGAATAGTCTTGCATGCACTCGCCGCCGCGGGGCGCGGGCTGCGGAAGCAGCAGCAGCAGCAGCAGCAGCAGCAGCAGCGGCAGTTCGTTAGGGCGGCGCGGCGAAACTGGGGCCATATCTGCTCACGGATGGAGCCATTGCCTGGAAAACAAAAAATTCCAATTTATTTAATTAAAAGTGATTTCTGCTTCCAAAAACTTCAGACCTTCTCAAGCTCCCGGATGTCTTGCTTCGTTAGGGGCTGGCTTTCAGATTTCTGCAGAAGGCGCATGCGCAGAGTTGAACTGAAACTTGAATTCTCTTGTTTCGTTTTGTTACTTTTTGGAGGTCTTGAAGGACTTGTTTCTGAAACGCCGCGGACTCCGAAACGGGGGGAGGACCAGTGGTCAGACCGGCGACGGCAGTGGTCTCGGGCGGCGCGGGCATCTGTTTTTCTGAAATGGAGAAGTTGAGTTTCTGCAGCTTTCCGCGGATCCGAGAGCGAATATACCGTATTTATACCAAATATTAAGCACGGCAAATATTTTGGAGGCTTCTTCGATGATCTTCGTGAGGAAGTTCCCCTTGGATCGCGCCTTTTCTTCTTTTTCCTCCTCCGGCTGCTCGATGGCCGGCTTGCCTCCCAGCGCCTCCTCTACTTCTCCCTGAGCCTCTTCAACCTGCTGCAGCAGCTCTTTTTGAATTTCTGCTTTCTCTTCAGCCGTCGCTTCGGGCCGTTCGTACGGCTGCGGCGGCTGCGGCGGCTGGGGGGGCGTTGGGGGCTGCGGGGGAGCGAAGGCGAAAGGGGAAAGCGCTGCTGTGCTGCGAACATTGTGCGTCAGGGCGGCAGCAGTGTTGCAAACTACAAAAAATAGCCAAATAATAAGTGCGTTCATTGCATATCTTTCATGTTCAGCTTTCGGATCTGATGAGTGCAGCAACCCGCGCGGGCGGCGCCGCCGCTGGGTGTACGTGCAGCTTTCGAAGCGCGAACGCATCTTGCCTCGCATGCAGGAAAAGAAGAGTTAAATAATAAAAAGGAAACAAATTCAAGTTTAAAACGTCTTTTGCAGGATGTCAGTCGGCGTTTAGCCGGGCATTTGCAGAGAAACAGAGGACCGCGACAGCCCAGGCTAGTGCCGCACTCTGGTGGCATTTCGCGGAAAGCTTTGCGTCACTCTGACTCCAAAGCCCCGCCACCACTGCCAGCCTCACTGCGGCCTTTCTGGCTGCGCTGGGGGGTCTTCTTCGGCTGGCGCAGTCAAGTAGAAGAGGAGGGGGCTGCACATGTGGCTCGCAGCGCAGGCGTGGACCTAGAGTGTCTAGAGTTGCTTAGATTTGATTTAGGCGGCTTGAATTGCCACTATTTTCTCCTTTTAATACAAATAAGAAATTGGTTTCTCTTTTTCTTCGAAATAAATCTCTCAGAAGGGGAAAAGACTCACATGCTGGGCTCTGGTGGGGGCGCCAAGCCCAGGGCGGCCGCCATCGCCGGCCGCGTCATCCTGGCCGAGGCTCTCATTCCAGTTTCTGCTAAAAAGACCGAGAGGCTGTGTCCATAATAATTGAAATTAAGATATTCGGCAATTAATTCGTTGAGAAGAGTCACTTCCGGTGGCGTTGGGGGGGGCGCGGCGGGCTGCAGCACACGGCGCGCAGTGTATGCACGTTTCTGCTGCGGATCTGCATGCGGCGCTGCCCACGGCGAAAGCCCCCACCCTCACCTTTCCCTTCAAAGCATTAAACAGTTCTGTCAGCAGCTGCGCCCGCAGCGCCCGGAGGGTCCCTCGGGACTCCAGGGCCTCTGTGGCAGCGTTTATGAGGTACTGCAGGCTTTCTTCCGCCATTTGCGGCCACTTGGGTGCTGGGGTGTGTCCACAGCTCGCGCGGGTCTCCCGCCACTCGAGGAAACAGCGAAATAAACTCCTTTTCTGCAACTAAATCATCTGCTTCTGTTTTATCTGCTTCAGGAAAGTATTTGTATGGCTGAAAACGAGCTAAATCCAATGAAATTCGCTGCAGAAACTAGCGGGGGAGAACCCAGTTGATCTAGTGACAGGAGTTGAGGGGCCTCTCTTGCTCCTCAGGAGTCCTACAGATGGACTTTAATCACTTTTTAGTATTAAAAAATTAAAAATATTGAATTTGATGGTTTAAATGCGAAACAATCAACTCAGCGCACAGATACACTGCCGGACATAAGTGCGCTGGGGCGTGACGGATCGGAGACAAGCCCGAAAAGAGATTCGGATGAAGATAAAGAAAGAATAGAACACAGTAACAAATATGTTTTTTTTGTTTTTAAGAAAATAATTTGAATTAATTAGTCCGTTGACAAGGAAACAGCAACGGATCAGCGGAGATGTCTAATGAGGCCAGGGCGGATCAGTCGGGAGACGGGAGCGGCGGCTGCACACTGCACTGAAATATCATTTTTGCGCATTTACTTCGCGAAATAAAATTAATTAAATAGTTTTAATTTGTTTTGTATTTTTCTGTGAACAGACGGGCTCGAATGCGCCGAAACACTCAAGGGCCCCTGCCGATCAGCCCCTGCCTGTCGATCGCGGTACGCACACCCCAGGATTCCACCGTCTTTTCTTTTCAAGTTTGTTTATCTTTATTTACTTAATTGTATTCAATTCATTTCAAGAATAATATTTTTTAAAGGAGCCTCCAGCCAGCGAGACAGTTGTTGCCGCCGACGCCTCACGCAGTCACCTGGGGGGCATGCTGCAACGCCCACAGCGGCGTTACTCCTCCGAAGAGCTGTCTTGGATCGATTTGCGACTTTTTTCTTTAAAATTCAGTTTTAAAATGCCATTTATAGGCTGCGGGCTCATATAAATGCATTATCTCTTCAGCGCGCGCTGAAGGGCGGGCGAGCGCTTCGGGCTTTCACTACGAGATGGGAAACTTCGTAACTTTACGGCTGCACTCAGCAGCCCTTAAAACAATTAATTTGAAATTGAAAAAGGTTTGGAAAAGCTCAAAGTCTCTGCATGCTCCCAGGTAGGCCAAAATTGCCTCTTGAGGCTTTATATTTGATAAGTGGCAAAGTTGAATTCAGCAGCAAACAGGAAGTCAACTACCTTTTGCTGCTGATTCAGTAGATATATTTGTGTGTGTTTCCAAGTTTAACAAACGACTCAATTAATTTGGTATTCAGTTGCACTTATTTCATTATATATATATACATATATATATATACATCTATATATATATATACTTACTCAGCCAGTTCATTTTAGTTCCTTTTGTCACTTTAGATTTTTTGTGACTTTTGTGTTATCTCTATTTCTGTCTCAGGGAAAAAAATGAAAGGGGGCAAGTAGTAGAGTCTGCTGCTTCGTCTCTGAGCTACTCCATTCAAATTGAAAGTGAGCTCCTAAACCCTAAACCCTAAACCCTAGCCGCAGTCCTGATGGCCGAAGCTTCAAACCCTAGACTCTGAGCCACTGTGCGATATAAATGTGCGCTAAAACGAATTGTCACTTCAGTCCCTGCGTTGCTTCTGCTAAACGCAACACTGCAGCAGCAGCAGCAGCAGCAACAGCAGCAGCAGCATCAGCCGCCGCGCACGTGCTGCTGCTGGTGCAGAAGCCTTTCGCTAAGCTCAACTGCATTAAAAGCCAAAACGCTGCTGCTGCTGTTGCTGCTGCTGCGGCTGCTGCTGCTGCTTGATGCAGGAAAGGAGGCGAGCGTGGTGTTTCTGGTGAATGTGGACTTGGGCGTAAGCGAAGAAGAAGTGCGGAAGTGTCTGTCGGCGCTGCTGCCGGTGGTGTCTGTGCGGGTGCCGAGGTGTACGTACACCTCAGCTTCCGCAGGCTGCGCCGTCGTCGAACTGCCGTCAGCAAAAGCAGCTCAAAGAGCTCTGACTTTATTTTCTAAAGTTGAATTCAGAGGCCGCAGAGTTGCACTCTGGCTGCACAGCAGCGCCCACTGCCGTGAGCAAAAACCCCCCTTGTCTTGCTGCTGTCTTTGCACTTTTCTATTTCTTACACTTTCTCATTTTATTTGCACTTTCCACTGTATTTGAACTTTGATTCGCTTTATACTTCTTCACTTATTTATAATTTTACGCTTATTTGCATTTTTCCATTTATTTGCATTTTTTCATTTTATTTCGTTTCTGGGAAACTCGCGGTCTTTCTGCTGCTGCTGCTCTGCCGCTGCAGCTTCTGCAGACACGCATCGTATAAAAAATAAATATTTAGGATTTAAATATGCAGCAGCTACTATAAATAGTATTGTACAACATATAAAAACATACGTGCATGCACTCAGCGCAGAGCAGCAGCTGCAGCAGCCAGGTCGCGTCTACTAGGAAGATATTGGAAAAGTGTTCTTTCGGGTCTCTCAAAAATTTGGACAGTTCAGCCTTTTGGGTTTCCCTGCTGCTGCTGCTGTTGCTGCTGCTGCTGCTGCCTCTGGCTCAGCGAGCGCCGCTGCGGTGGCTGGCAGCGACACGCTGCTGCTGCACAACTTGCCGCTGGCAGCAACTGAAGCTGCTCTGTACAGAATGGCCTCTGGCGTTGCTGCTGTGAAGAAGACTCGGATGGCCCGGGACAGCAGCAGCGGGAAGCCCCTGGGTTACGGCTACGTGCAGCTGCAGTCTGCAGCAGCAGCAGCTGCCGCGCTGGTTGCGCTGCAGCAGCAGCAGCGGGAGGAGCAGCTGTCGGGAGGGGGCCCGTCGTGGCGGGTGTGCAGCTGCCTGCCCCCGCTGAAGCTGAATTTGAATTCTGCGTGACTTTGACTTTGTTTCGTTGTTTGCTAATAATTGTGAATTGAAAGGGGTTTTGGGGGCCTTGGAATTCAAATTCAACAAGTGTGTGTGTAGGCTGAAAGGTTGCAAACGCTTGCGGCTGCTGCTGCTGCTGCTGCTGCTGCGCAGCAGCTGCTGCGGCGCGGCGGCGGAGCCGCCCGGGGCGCAGCAGCGCGCAAGGGGGGGTGCGTGTGTGGCTTAAACGGGGCGGAAGCGCGGCGGAACGTGCAGAAATAAAAGCACAAAAGAAAGAAGTGGAGCAGCAGTGGCGCGGCAGGTGCGGGTCCGCGGGGGCCGCGGTCTGCGCCGTCGATACACCGCGCGCCGGCTCCCT